TGCGTGAGGCGGGACCGGCCCGGCTCCTACAGCGGCCCTGCCTCGGTCTCACGCCAGCGCCTCGAAAGCCTCAGGAAAAAGCGGCCGCGTAAGTGCCCCGTAGGGCGCCTTCGCAACTCGCCCTACCCCCTTCCGGCCCGGCCGCCGTTTTCCCGCGCGCGGACAGTGCCCCCGCATGGTGGTCCCACGTTGGTGCGTGGCCTGACACCCGGCGGGAGGACGCTTATCCCCCAAACGTAGCGCCTTCGGGGTTCGGCCGTCGCGCCCATTGGCCTGCGCTTCCCGCTTGTTTGAGTGAGGGCCTTTCCCCAGGATCCTTCCTCTCCTTAGCTCTTTGGGCATTCCTTTCCCGAGAGTCATGTGATTTTTATCCTCAGGAAGGCTTCTTTTGACTAATTGCCACCACCACGCGTCTCCTCCCTCCAAATCCTTTGAATTCCGTGTCTGTCTGCTGTGGGTTTGCAAAGAGCTGGCCTCAAAGACGTTGTAGGTCCTTTTTATCTGGCCATTTCGGGCGTACTGGAAAATGGTTAACCACCCTCTGATTGCTTCAGGCTTAAAACTGGATTCCATGTTCTGTGCTTCTCTATCTTTGGCTGCTTTTCCTACCTTGAGAATTCAGGTCATCTCTCACCCAGATAGCTCCCCTGTTTTCATCTATTTGTAGGTACTCACGATTCAGAACTGTAGCATTCTGGGCATTCAGGTTTTTTCTTTTGAGGGAAAGCCACGTCTTCCTGGATTTTGCCTTGGGAGTTGCAGACGCTCTTCTCAGAGAATCAGTTTCTCCATTTTATTATCACGTTTCTTGTCTGCATTCTGTATTTTCTCTCCTTTACAGGTCTCCAGTTTAGGACCGCTGTCCGCAGCCATTGCTACTGTTGAAAGTATCAAATTGTAGGCCGGCCCGTGGCTCACTCGGTAGAGTGCGGTGCTGATAACACCAAGGCCACGGGTTCGGATCCTATATAGGGATGGCCGGTTTGCTCACTGGCTGAACGTGGTGCTGACAACACCAAGCCAAGGGTTGAGATCCCCTTACCGGTCATCTTTAAAAAAAAAAAAAGAAAGTATCAAATTGTCCTGATACTGTAATATGAACTTTAGTGTAGTGGTATTTTACATATGGTTAGACTTTTTGGTGGTGGTTACCAGATTCTTATTTGAGGGAATTGACTTGTTTATTTTATTTATTTATTTATTTTTATAAAGATGACCGGTAAGGGGATCTCAACCCTTGGCTTGGTGTCGTCAGCACCACGCTCAGCCAGTGAGCAAACTGGCCATCCCTATATAGGATCCGAACCCGTGGGGCCTTGGTGTTATCAGCACCGCACTCTACCGAGTGAGCCACGGGCCGGCCTGGAATTGACTTGTTTAAATGGAGGTTGTGAGAGTGGGGGAAAGTGGCAGGACATATGAGAAGTGTTTATTAGAGAGGCTTGTACCTTAGCCTAACCACCCAGTTGCTTTTCTTCTATTATGTGTGATTTGGATGATTAAATGTAGCTCTATTTTCTCATGAAAAGTTTAGGAGTTTTCAATTCTTTTGTTTTCTTCTTGCAAGGGATTTGGAAAACAGATTCTAAACCTGTGCTATTTTTAGAGTCAGTTACCTGTTTTTTGTTTTGAGAAGCTCCAGATTTTTAAGCAATGCGAAACATTAGTTCCTTCATGGTTTTGCACTACTTCATTAGAGACGGATGTAAATGCCAGAGATTCAGCAAATAAGAATCACAGCTATATAGCCAGCTATTTGTGGCCATTGGCCACAAGGATTCTAAGTATTGTGTTTTGGGTATTTGCACGGGTCAGGTACTCTTCTGAGCTTTAATAACTCATTAGCTCTCACAGTTCTGAGGTAAGTGGTAGTATTCCATTTTGCTTATGAGAAAACCAGGACATATTTGCTGAGTGTCAAATGGCTAGTGTGTGGTAGGATAGAAATGTAAACTCAGGAATTCTAGCTTCTGCTCTTAACCACTGTGTTTTACTAAATTGTTTATGTTTTGTTAGTTGTTTTTCGTTGCTCTAAGTTTAAGCATGATCTTTTTTGGTCCTGCAAGGCTGTCCTAGTTGAAGTGAAAATTTCTAGCTACTGTGGAAGTACTTTCAAATACTGAGCATAAAAATGACCTGGGGAGTTAAAAATGCAGATTCCTTGGGTCCAGTTCTCTATATGTGCAATGAGAATCTGGAGAGGGATCTGAGAAGCTGCATTTTTTTTCCTTTTTGTCTTTTTTCGTGTCCGGCAATGGATCGCAACCCTCAGTGTCGCGCCCGTACCGGACCGGGACCGGCAACGGGATCGCAACCCTCAGTGTTGCACCCGCACCTCGCTCAGCCAGTGAGCGGGAACCGGTCTGTATGTGGGATCCGAACCCTCGGAGGTAAGTGGCGCACTGTAGCAGTGCGCCACCGGGCCGGCCCGAAGCTG